CTAAGTTTGATAATTATTGTATATCAGTTAAATAAATTTATATAATACATTTTAGCATGATACAGATAAATAAATACTAGGCTAGAACCAAGGTGACATTATAACAGAGGACATTGTGACTAAGTGTCTATTCTTCCTCACCTTTCAGGTTTTGTGTGTTGTGGACTGAATTGTATCCTTCCACAAATTCTTTTTTTGTTTGTTTGTTTGTGGTGTGGGGGATTGAATCCAGGAGTGCTCAACAACTGGGCCACATCCCAACCTTTTTTATATTTTTACTTAGGGACAGGTTAAGTTGCTTAGGACCTTTATAAGTTGCCAAGGCTGGCTTTGAACTCTCCATCCTCCTACTTCAGCCTCCTGAGCTCCTGAGATTACAGGTGTGCGACACTGCACTCAGCCCACAATTTTTTTTTGTTGTTGTTTAAACCTTAAAACCCAATGTGATGGGATTTAGACATGAGGCCCTTAAGAGATAATTTGGTCTAGATGAGGTACTAAGGATGGGGTCCTTCTGATGAGATTAATGCCCTTATAAGAAGAGAGCTAACAGAATTTAACTTGCTTCCTCTTTCTCAATCCTCACTTACACAAGCAAAAGGTGATGTTAGAACACAGGAAGAAGGCAGCTATCTGCAACCCAAGGACTGACCCTGAAAGTACCTTGATCTTAAGCTTCCACTTTCTAGAACAGTGAGAAATAAATTCCTTTTTTTTTAAGGCACCCAAATTGTGGCATTTTGTTCTGGTCACCTGAGCTGACTGAGGTACCTTTTGTACACTTTCTCAAGTGCTAAATAGATTTAGAACTTGCCAGAATTATTTTGCATATTCAGTTGACTGTTATCTTCAATCCATTAAGTCATAAAGTTATTTCTATTATTTACTAATTTTTATGGGCCAAATGAATCAATTAACTAATTAAAATTAATTAATTTTTAGTGATACCAAAGAAGTATTAATTTCTTAGGCCCTTTTCACTTTCACTTGTAGCATTAATGGTTAGTCCTCATTTTAGGGTCGTTTTGGAAAAATCTCCCATGCCTTAAAAAATATTTTGTTACCATTTCTAGAAGTAGAGAATAACATACTCCATTAAGATGCAGATGCTGGGTGGTTGGAAGGTACCCTTATCAGTCAAGCTGTTAACTTCCAGAAGCTCCTAAAATCAACACCATACCTGATCTCATTATTTAATCTCAAACTTAATAGGCCCAGTATTAATTTTTGATCTCATACCAAATAGTACCATGTCATTAAAGGCAAATCTGAAAACATCTGTAAATCCCTGAAGTTTCACCTTAAAATAGAACAATACCTCACCATCTCAACTACTACACTGATATCACCATCAACTCTAGAGTATCAACAGACTTGTCTCAGTCTATCATCAACACAGCTGAAAGGGGACATGATATGACTTCCAGTTGAAGTCATATCATATCCCACTTAGGTTCCAACTTTCAGCTCCCTCTCTCAGCCAGATCATGAAGGAGTCTTCAAAATGGTCTATAAGACTTAGATGTCTGCTCTGTAACCACTCCTACCTCTGTTTCCATCTACTCAAGGTTCACCGCCCTCCTTGCTGTTACTCAAAGAGGTTAGGCAGGCCTTTGCTTGAGGACCTTAGCTTTAGTGTTGCCCTAGAATACTCTTCCAACTGATACCCACATGTCTTAAGTTGCTCATGTCCTTTAAGTTTTTGCTCAAATCTCATCTTTGTAAGGAGGCTAACCTGAGCACTCTTAAGTACTGCAACCTATTCTGTCTTCTTCCTCCCCTGAACTTTGCCTTAGTTTCCATTTTTAATCTAATAGCACTTACCATCATCTCCTCATATACTCCTTCCTTTTCTTATTTTCTTTATTCACCATTGTCTTTTCTACTTGCTTGAATGTAAACTCTTCAAGGTCATGGACATTTGTTACCTCCCATTGCTATACTTTTCCCCGTTTAAAATAGCATTACTTTATATGTGTTCAACAAATCATTGTTGAATAAATGAATTATGAAGCTTCTTGGTGATAGAAAGTAAACTCCATTAATTTTGGTTTTCAATTAGCTGATGGGGCTTATTCGTGGTGTTTAGTATAATTTGACTTATATGAAAGAAGTAGGCTTTGACTGCAACTAAAGTTTGCCTCATACACACTTATTTCTCCTGTGTCCCCACTCTTCATTCATATAGGAGGAAAGAGAAAATGCGGTGACAATAGATGGGGAAGAAAACCAGAATTAATTTAGTGTTTACAATGTATTGGTAATTGTGTTGGTTAATTGAATATCTAAATTTATGATTAAGCCATCATGATTCAGAAGAAATTCACAGGTGGACATCATCATGTGAGGCTTGTGATCACCAGAAAGCATGTATGCTTTGTAAGAGAAGTGAATCAATTGGTTAACCTTGGTCAAAATAATGCATCTTCCTGTCTATTTCTCTAAATATTTTTCTACTATTCATTTTCTACTCTTTTAGCCCCCCTTTTCCCCTGTGTAAATAATAAATAATTTTTATTAAATTTGAAGTACTAAAGTTGGAGGTAGGCAGGGAAAGGGAAATGCATTAAGAGATTATGTTCTGTTGCCTAACTGTTTGAGTTCTAATCTCTGCTTTGCTACTACACAACCATGGGCAAGTGAAATACAATTTACTACCTTACTTATTGCATTAGCAAAATAGGATTAATAATAGTACATGCCACATAGGGTTGTTTTGAGGAATAGCAGCTCACAATCAACAATGCCTACTACATAGCATTCACTCTAGAAATAGCTATTTTACAAAATATTGAAGTATTTTCTGAAATAAAAGTATATGATTTTAAATTTTTTGTGCATTACATTTTCATAAAATGCTGTTGTTCATACAGTGTAAACTGATTCATTGAGACAAATTATCATGACTTTTATTTTTTAAAAAAATCAAGGATCATCTGAATTTTTTATTTTTGAAACATTATAATTACAAATACTAAGTTTAGGGAGTGAGATGCTGATGCTGCAGAATGTGGTTTTCAAAGTCTTCTCTGTGTCTATCTTCATGATAGGAACTTTCCTGTGCAACCCTTTCTCTAAGGAAGAGATACACTGTCAGGATCTATAAAGGATCTAATATTTTACCCCACTTGCAAGCTAATAAAGTTTCAGAGAAATTGGCAGAAGGCATAAGATTTCTGATTCAGAGATAAAGGACTTTATTACTCAAAGCACAAAAGCAGCTTGAGCAAAGTCCCCCAGGGCAAAGTGGAACTGTCAGGAGGGTGATGCAATTCAGTGGGTTTGTTACCAGGCTGCTTAGGAAACTACATACTTTGGAAAGTCCTGTCTTTTAAAGGGGCTAATAACAAACCTACCCAAACTTTGTCCTGGAGGAAAATATTATCTTAAAAATTACATGTGCATGAGGCTGGAGTTGTGGCTCAGCGGTAGAGTGTAGAGTGCTCAACTAGCAAGTGCAAGGCCCTGGGTTCAATCCTCAGTACCACATAAAAAATAAATGAATAAAATAAAGGTATTGTATTCAACTACAAGTAAAAAATGAATATTAAAAAAAATTACACGTGCAGAAATGTAAGAGACCCATGGAGATTTGACACCTGGTATGCCCAAATGTAATGCATCAATCAGTATGATCATTGTAATGAAGATACCCCAAAGTTCAGATCCTAGATTTAGACTAACATAGTAAATGTAGACAATCTTTCCCTAAGTATTTATTTGAATATATAGTTAATTCTGTGTATTAACTTGGCAACAATTTGTTCAGCTTTCTATTATCACTTGATACCTTAATGAGTCATACATTCTTTTCTGCTACCAAGTAGAATTTGCCATTTTTTCTACTTATTTATTTATCCCAGTAATTTAACTTTATTGGTAAAGTATTTCTTATTGTGTCAGAGGAACTGACACTTTCTCAAGAATAGCTTGTACATTTTCAAGCTTCCTTTCTCTCTGTCTCTTCCTGGTAAAACTGTTTCACAAGGTCCAAGATATTCCTCTGTGGTGTAGCTAAACAATAGTTAAGCTTTGCAAGACTGATTTCATCTGCTAATAGTTAACACTTCTTTTTAACATCCTTATTTTTGAAATAGCTCCTCTCTTATTCTTCAGTGATAACTTGAAATAATATCATCTTTGTTTTGTCTTAAAACTGAAACTATGACTATTTTGTTCTTTTAAACTCAGAGCTATAAATTTCATTTGTATTCTAGATAAAAGCAGACTTGTCAATTACTTAAAAATCAAAATTAAAAATTAACTCTTAAAGAGCAAAATATTCTTTGGTATAGATAATATTTAATAAGGGTTTTCCAAAGGTTGAGTCACTGGTAGGATTGCCAGATAATATAATAACATACAGGACACTGTGCATTACTGACCTATAAACAGCAAAAAATTCTAAATATAAGTGTACGTGTGTGTAATATTTGAGACTTACCCTAATTATTTACTTGAAAATCAAATTTAACTAGATATCCTATGTTTTTATTTGTTACGTTTGACAATTGTGGCCAGACTCCTAAATTTGGAGTCAATTGGGGTTTAATGCAGAAGTACTCTCCTTGGGGCATAGCCATAGTCACAACTTCAAAGTTCTGATGTGACATCAATACTACACAAAAGCAAAGATTAGTAACTGCAAAATTTGAAATTCAAAGATGACTAAGTCTAAGCGCAGAAGAGTCTAAGAGTAGAAGTGTGCTGCCCGGTTTTGATTTTCTAGGGAGAAAAGAAACTTTAGGAAACAATAGCTTAGAGAATCGGAGTGAGTTGGTTAAGAACTTGAGTGAGCCAATAAGAGCTGAACAAACAGGTTCTCTGAGCCAAGAGACCTGATAGCCAATCAGAACTGAGGAGAGTGAGGCTAGACTCCGAGGCTCCCGCAGTGTGGTCGAGAAAGGCAGGACTCAGCCAATCGGAACTAGGTAGGGCTGGGGCTGGATTCAGGGGGCGGGCTTGAACGCGCGAACGCGACGCGCGGGGATTGGGTGGCTTTCGGCCTGAGCTGCACCTGCACTTCCCCGCTTTTCTCACCAGGGCGAACGCCAACTCAAGAGTGACTATTGGGTGACACTTGATCGGCTCTTCATGGCCTACCCGGGATATGGAGGAGGGGTGAGTCCTGGTTACTTTTTCGTGGCCTCGGTTCACGCTGGGTGTGTGGCCCGACGGGCGCTGCCACCGTGCGGGTCCGCCCACTGCCTCCGCGTCCTTCTCTGGTGACTGATACTAGAGGGCCTGAAACAGAACTCTGAGTAGTGCTGGAAACAGGGGCTGGGCGGGCTAAAATGGAACTGCAGGTGTTCCGATCCTTGAGGACCCTTAAGTGTCGACCCTCAGTGTGACGTTGCCATGTGAATTGTGTTTTTGAAATTTCTTTTCTTGGAACCGAGGAATAAAACATCCTTCTCCTTTTGTAATAATCTTATAGGGTTCTCACCCCTGCTCCACGCAGTTTTGTTACAGATCCTCTTTCTGAAATTATTTTTACCACTTCTCATTTTTAAAACTCCTTACAAATACGTTAAGATGAACTCTAAATGCCCCCGATACCTTTTGTCAGAGCAAAGACAATCTGTTTTTCTAGACTTTGTTTTTGAAGTTGTGAAGATTATTCTTTCTCATGTAATTGTTTTTTCTACATCACCTTTGGAGTTAGAATTCTTAATTGTAGTATCCTGTGGCTAGTACCTTCCTTTTGGAAAGGAATTCCAAGTCTTCAACATTTTTATCAGTAATTTTCAAAGTGCCTGGAGCATACTTTTTGTTTACAAAGAGTGTGGGATGGTCCACTAGGGTGCAGGCAGAAGGTAGCCTGTTTTCTATTTTTATTTTAACTTTTTTTAAAACCTAAAAATGGAAATTATGCTTTATTAATTTTAATCCAGATATTGACACTAGTGTATAGTAGTGGTGTTCAAAGGAATTAATTCTAATCCTTGGAACTAAGGGAGAATCATTTTTTAAGGTAATGGATTTCCAGGCTCTCAACTCTGACACATACTTGTTCCTAAACTGAGTTGCTTGAAAACGTGCCTGAATTCCCTCTGGCATCTTCTACTTTCTAATGTCTACTTTCAGTCCTTAAGTTACTAAGGAAGTTTAAGGTGCCTAAGGAAGGTAAAATCTCTTTCAAAATTAGTCAAAATAGCATGAATCCATGAGGCAGTTTAAATTTCATTACCTTCTACATATTTTAATTAGATTGCAGTCCCTGTTAGAAATATGTTACTTTTACTCCTAGTTGGATATCCTAATTTCATGTATGTGGTAGAGATGATGGTGATAGTAATAACATATTAATTGAAAGGATTTGCTACTTCCTTACCCCCATTTTTATCAGAGTGCTTGTGTTTAATGGAAGGAAACATCTGTAATAACATATTAATTGAAAGGATTTGTTACTTCCTTACCCCCATTTTTATCAGAGTGCTTGTGTTTAATGGAAGGAAACATCTGAACATATTTGAAACATTTAAATGCTTTTTTTCTGCTTATCCTAATAAAAACAGCTCTTCACATCTATTCTCCAACTCCTTATTAGTAGCTAGGACAAAAATACCCTCAAACAAAGAAAGCAATATAGATTAGTAAAATTAACACTTTTCAGTGGAACTCTTTTAAGATACATTGAATAAAATCCAAGGGTAAAATATGCATTATTTCTTTATTTGGAATATATTTATAAGTTAAAATTGTTTTATGAAACATATTAACTATAGTCAATATAGACCTAAATTAATATTTTTATATTTAACAAAATATAAAATGGTAGCTGTTAGACCTTTTTGAAAGTATACTTTTATCTGACCCAGTAAATGATTCATCTTTTTAAATGCTTTTCTAATACTTTTTTACTTGTTTAGTAAGAGTTTTTTTAATCAAAATTGTATTATTTTCATTGTACTAATTTTATAATAAAAATTTTCACAGGAAAAAAAATTTAAAATTTTAATTTATACATATTTTCATTATATTTTTTTTCTTCCTTCTACTTGAAATTCTTTTTTCTTTCTGTCTTATGGCAACCTCTTTTCAGCCTTCAGGTCAAGATTTTTGTTTAATGGAATGAGTTTATAATCTACTACTTCTTTCTCTCTGGACTCACAAAAATTCTGAGCAAAATGTTTTTCTAAGGTATTAAAAGCATATGCCATGTCCCAAAATGAACAGTAAATAAGAGAGAAACCATAGCCATAGCATGAAATAAATGTGGATAGGGTTTATCCACATGTCTCTGAGGGTAAGTATATTTGAATACATGGTCTACTTCTTACTAGCTATTTGACCTTGACCAGGTCAGGAGATCTTGAAGTTTCAGAACCTCAACTGCAAAAAGAACAAAATACTTTTATATCTCATGGAGTTGTGAAAATTTAATGAAATAATCAATGGAAGTACTTAGAGTGGTACATGGCATATAAAAAGCCCTCAATAAATATTAACTGCCTAATATTATTATTTCATTGGTATTATTATTTTTCTTATTAGTATTGGAGTGGACTATTAGAGTTGTCACTGTATTTTTTTCTTGTCATCTTAATTTTTTAAAAAATAAATCTTTTATGGTGGAGAGGATATTTGAGCTATAAGCAGTTTCCCATGATTAGGTCCCAGTTTCATTGTATTGACCACATTTTTTTCTAAGTATGTGTCTTGAGGTATAATTCTGAGTTTCACTATATGTGAAATCTTACGTTTTACTTTCATTTATTTCACTGATGATGATGGTAAACTTTAAAAATTATACCTTATATTCTTTTGTTGAATTAAGTTCTTAGTGGCTGATGTTTTTTTTCTTTTTAACTACTTTTTAAAAATTTTTTACTTGTAGATGGACACAATACCTTTATTTATTTATTATTATGTGGTGCTGAGGATTGAACCCAGTGCCTCACACATGTTAGACAAGCTCTCTACCATTGAGCTATACCTCTAGCTCTTAACTACTTTTAATGCTGAATAACAAATACTAATGAACTCTGTCTTAATGTTAGTTACCTAGTATTATGTAGCTTAAGCTTTTGTGATAATTATGTTTGGGAGCTTTTGGTAACTATATTTTTACTTTTCAATGGACTTTCAATACATATTTTATTTGAAGCCACTTTAATGGATAATTTTTGTATTATTTATTTTCTTCTCTTTTACTCTTGTAGTTTGGAAATTTTAGTGGTCAGATGCCAGAAATGCAAATGCCAGGAACAGGTCCAAACATGCTCCCTGGTGGTTACTCTGGGTACCCAGCATATTCAGACAATTATTCTTCAGCTGATGATGCTATGTGGAATTATTTCACTGCTGTTGCTGGACAGGTAAGGTGCTAAAATTATTGCACAAGTGTTAGTTTAAAAAAAATGATTGGTATTCAAAAGAAATGTCAAGTATTTCACTTAGTATATCAGTTTAAATGCATATGGAACTTATGTTTAAATTTTTTCTAGGCTGATTTTGTTCTTGAGACCTGAGATGAGGGCAGTCATAATTATTTTATTTTAAAAAGTCACTTTAAATCAATTGAAAGAGTAAAGATTTTCAAAGTAGAAAAATCTAATTCTTCCTTACATAGTAGGATGTCTTCTAAGGTTTGATGTTGTTTGTCACCACCAAAACTCATGTTGAAATTTACATGCCAGTGCAGTGGTACTGAGAGGTAGTAGTGCCTTTAAGAGGCCTTTAGGTCATGTGGGCTCCATCTTCATCAGAGGATAAAGGTGATTCTTGAAAGAGTGGGTTAGTTATTTCACATTGGAGTGGATTGTTTTGAAGTGAGTCAGTCACCTCCCATTTTTCTCTCTCACACATTTGTCTCTGGTCTTCACACCTGGTCCTTACAAAGAAGAGCTGATGCCTGTGCTTTACCTAGCTTCCAGAAACATAAGCAAAACCAAACCTCTTTTCTTTAGAAGTTACACAGCCTCAGTTATATAGCTGCAGAAAATAGACCAACACTTTTCTTGCTGACATTATTTGACAAAGGGATTTTGTTACTAGTAGTTAAGTACATCATCAAAACATAAGTATTATAGTACTTAGATGTTTTCTTATTTTGAACTATCTTATCTCTCACTTAATCGTCTTAATATCTTCCCTATGTTTGACAATGAGAAGAATTCTATTCCCTTGGAGAGATTGATAATCTAAAGCTAATTACATTTAGTCTGAACATCCTTTTATAGCAAACAAGGATGACTGTTATAAATTTAAGGGAAGGTAAGAGATATTTACAGCAATTAGTATTTAGTCTAGGGAACAATATTTTAACTTTGCCATTCATTCCATTAAAAAGAAGTGTTTGTGTGTGTGTGTGTGTGTGTGTGTAATTTGAAACCCACGTATGTCAAACAGTATTATAAATAGGAAATCACCTCAAAATATCATAAATTTATTCAAGTTGAGCAATTACATTTTTTCCACAGAAGGATTTATGTCATTTTTAGTGATTTTTTAAATTTATATGACTGTCCAGTCTTTCAAAAAGATTATCTATATAATCATATTAGGGCATATTTTTCTATTTTTAACAAAATATTACAGAAATTATTATCTTAATGATATATTATAGTATTAGCATGTTATTAATCTCTAATAAATTTGAATAAGTATATAGAAGACAGGCTTTATTATGACCAATCGGGAAGTATGAACCTGCCAATTCAGGTACGTGAGTTTTGCATGCAAAGTTTTAGTGATAATAAGTAATTATGTGGTCAGGCAAAGTTTTTTTTCTTTATTTCTATTGCAACTACTGTTTATTATACCACAATTTATTCCTTTTAAAGTAATTTTATATTCATTATCTTGTGAAAGTTCGAGTGGTCTTAATGGAAGTATGTATCACATCCATTTTTATGAGATATCAGTTGCATTTTTTTATAAGAGAATTGTTGAGTATTGAAGATAGGAAAGAATATAATTGCGATACATATTTGTATATTTACATATATAAGTGTGATAACATATACACACATTTTGATATTTATATGTGTTATATATTTATTTATATTTTTGTATATTTTTTTCCATGGTTCCTAGCTCATAATGCCTTCCCTGAGGCAGGATATAGGGCATAGAAACTAGAATTTCTCTTCCCCAAGGAAGTCACAGAAACTTTTCCCTGTTCTTATATGGCCATAATTTTCTTTATTCTCTGATTTACCTTACCTGACAGGAGGTCATAAGACTCTTATTCCAGAGGAGTTCTCTCCCAAACCCTGGAGGAAGGAATGCTACACAGAGGCCAAGTAGAGTCTGAATTTTAGGCCTTGCTGGATTTTCTTACCTAGTCTATTAGCAATCATGCTGATGCTATGAAATCTGAACCCGAAAAGACGGGGTTCAGAGAACTTCTATATAGCTGAACATGTGAAGGTTCTTGTTCACCTATTGATGTGCCACGAAAGTAGTACACCCTAATTCCAAAGGAAGTCTAAAGAAAAAATAAAATCAGAGTCCCACTGTATGGGACTTCTTGAGGCAATTAATGGATGATGTCCTACATTTTATAGCATCTGATTCTTAACCCTGGTAAAATAGTAAATATTGTTTTTCTTAGGAAGAGTACACCTTCACTTCTGAAGAACAAGACATATAATTGACTTTTATCTACAGTGTATCCTTCTAGGCAGAGCAGTGGGTGAGGGGAGCTTAGGCCTTTGCAGATAAATGAGCACATGGAAATGTGGCACACAGAGTTTAAAGCTGTTTTATTTTGTGTGAGAGGAAATAGTGAGCTGTTTTGTAGTTTCCATTTCATTCATAAGAAAGATCCTAAAATAACTTTTATGTGTTTCAACTAAAATTTACAATAAATTTTGTTTTGTATCTTTTCAACTATCATTTTTTCCAAGTCTGCTTTTTCCATAAATGTTCTTTCATCGTAAAGAACCTCCACACCTTTTGGTTCCTTCTTCATTGTCTAGAAGTGTAGAATTTAGAGAAATACCCAGTTTGGGAAAGGTGTGAAATATTACGGAAGAGGCTGGTGAGAAACTTTTGTGTGAAATGTTACGGAATAGACTGATGCTTGAACAGAAAATATCATCTGACATGTAGGATTTGTTGCTCTTCATTTTAATTGGATTGGTGTAGATTTTCAGTACACTTACATTTTTCTTGAAAACTTCATGTTTGTGTGGTCTGTACATTCCATTCTTTGCATTCTTGTGCTTTCTACATGATACATTGTTTTTATAAATGGGAAAAAATTCATGAGGCTCAGTAACTTCTCATTAATTTAATCATCAAGTAGAATGGCATTTTTCCACTTAAGAAGAGTTAAAGAAAAGATAATTTATAACTACATCACTTTTTGTGTGCTAAAAGACATTTTTTTAAAAAATCAAAAATAAAGATAAGTCATTTTCTTCCTTTGCCTCTTCTAATAGTTTGTAAAAGAGTCTTTTTAAATTTGGTGTGCCATCATTGACAGTAGCATGGCATTTGTGTGTTATTTCACGGAAATGGTATTGACAGTGGCAGCTCTCCGAATTAATTAGTAGAGTGTTTTACTAATGACTTTTTGCTCAGAACATGAAGTTTTTGAAAGAGGTTTATAATATAATAATCATTTGAAACAGTTGCTTCGGGACTTCTAATAGGGAGGTGGATAAATGTTGGTTAAATAAAATGTGCCCCAAAGTTCTTCTAAAGTTCCTATAACTGGAAGAAAGTATTTGTAATGTAGCTACAAGTCTAAGGAAATAGGTATTTTTTAAGGTATAATTTTATTACTATAGAATTTAAAATTTAATAAAGATCCCCAAAGTATGTAGGACCTAGGAAGGAGCACTCAGATATTCTAAGCAGAGACGACTGTAAGGATGCTTCATTGAGAAGAATATTACTCAGTATTTTTAAATTTCTATTAGAACCACTGGAATTGTGTTTGCAGGTTCATTGTTAAAGATCTAGTAGAATGTGACTATTTAAATACTTCTTAGAAGTTTTTTCTAAAGTATTCATTTCTTTTTTTATGAAGCATGTGTCTTAAATTTACCTTTTTAATCTTTTCTCATAGCTCTTGTTTTGCATCTGTGCCAATGTATGTGATATTTCCAAGTGAATTACCTTACTGTATATTTGTGTAGAAAATAGGATTAGGTACTGAAACGTAAGGAGAATACTCTGTTTCATTTCCATTGTCATTTCCAATAAATTCAAACAAGAATGTTTGGACACTAATCAGAATAGCTACACAATACAGAGGACTATAAAATTTCACTAGAGGTAATTGTTAGATTGAAAAGGATATGTTTCCCTGCCAGTAAAACATTCAATATGAAGTTTTTCTTTAGACATAGTTCCTTCCAAAAATGACCATGACTGGGAATGTTTGTGAGAACTTTTTAAAAACGTTTTATGGATTTTTCTATTTTAATTAGAGATTCAATGACTTTCACAATATTTTGTTTTGAATTGTGATAGAACAGAGCAAATATGCTGTTTTTTTCAGAAGTAGAGGAAATGATTCATTGCATTATGTTCTGTAATATGCTTTTGCGGTTGATAATTCTTTTTAGAATTTTGAAGTTGATACCAGTATTCTGAGAAATGCATATTTCTTGATTGAGCTACCATAGTTAATTAACATTTTAATATGCTTTTATATAACTAAACATTAAATAAGGTTATCATTATTGTTTTAACAGGATGGTGAAGTGGATGCTGAGGAACTTCAGAAATGTTTGACACAGTCTGGAATCAGTGGAACTTATTCTCGTAAGATCTTCCCCACCCCCTTTTATTGAAATTGGAATAGGATATTCATTTTCTAGTTTTTTGTATCCCCATAATTAGAGTACATATTTAAAAATTTCATAGCAGTTATACATGCACATGGTTTAAAGAGATGGTTCAGCCAAATGGTTCAGTTATGAATATAATCTGTTCCTTGTACATTCCTTTCTTCCCAACATTAATCACTTATATAAGAGGCTTCTTTTTAGCTGATTCTTTTCGAATTGAGAGGATTAAATTCTCTTTCAACCTTGAGGTAACCCTGTCCCTTCCCTTCACACAGGAATACTTCCCAGTCTCCCATAGTACAATATGGTGGTATGGTAATTTTGGTTAGGTAATCAGTAGTTTTTTTTTGGTATGTACATACTGTTTATAACTTTGTCTTGTGACAATATATGATTACTTTTCCTTTTTATATAACTTTTTGCTTTTCTTGAAATTAATAAGGTTAAGTATTCTATCTTTCTTATCAACCTGGAACTTTCCAGTGTGCTCTGTTTTTTGTGTGTGATTCTCATACTGGCATTCTTTCACCTTCATTCTGGAGCTGTCTTTGTTTTCTCCAGTTGGTTGGCCTCTTCACTCAATCTCCTGACATCTTGCTTTCCACTTAAAAAAAAATACAATCCCTTATTTCAATGAAATTTATCATTAGGTAAAATAAAAGTGGTAAATATTGGTGACCTTATGTATATTAAAAAGATTTAATTCTGTCTTCAGAATGGAGGGATTTTAGGTCAGGTATCGAGTCCTGGGTTACAAATCATTTTCATATTGAATTTTAGAGGTATTACTTAATTGTTTTCAGCTTCCATTGTTGTTATATCTTTTCACTTCTGGCCCATATGTGATTTGCTTTTGTTCTCCAGAAGCTTGGGAGATCTTCTCTTTGTTCCTAGTATTCAGAAATTCCATAATGCTTTACTTAGTGGTATTCTGTGGGGAACTCAGTGCATGTGTGCTTACTCTGGAAACTTATTTACTTTAGTTATGGGTAATTTTCTTCACTGATGTTTTCTCTTTCTATATTGCATGTTATTTGAACTAGGTCTTCTACTTATTCTTTTTGTGTGTGTGTGTGTGTGTGTGTGTGTGTGTGTGTGTGTGTGTGTGTGGTGCTGGGGATTGAACCCAGGGCTTTGTGCATGCAAGGCAAGCATTCTACCAACAGAGCTGTATCCCCAGCCCTCTTTTATTCTTACACTGTTTGGGAAATGTCCTCAACTTTATTTTCTAAAACTTCTATTGAGTCTTTTGTTTTGACTATAATTTTTTAACTCTCTCAAAGACTATTAATATCCTTGAGTTTTTTCTTTCCCTGTGCCTGTTATTTCTTACAAATTGTTTTTATATCCCCAGTTTGTTTGTTTGGTTATCTTTCATGTCTTTTCTCAGGTGCTTGATGATACTTTTGTTGCTCATGTTTTGCTAAAATGCTGATCATAAGTCCTGACATCATGGTTAAATTTTGATCATGGGCTTCAGTGCATGGTTTTTCATTTGGGCAGTTCTGTTGTGTAACTTTGAGTGTTGGTATCTTTAGTGATTTCCTTTGGGGATGATTATCCAGTTTATCTTCTGACTGCAAGGGAGACGAAATGGAGTCCACAGGGTTCTCAAAACTTTTGTAAATATTCAATTAATTGCCTTGTGTTTAGTAGATATCCCATCCCAGCTGTGCCTGATATACTACAGTCCAGAGAATTCTCCAGAGAACCGAATTCTGCTAGGTTTAGGAGTCAGAGCTATCTAACCAAATAGAGACAAGGAGGTGATTGGGGGCTTTAAATTCTCCTATGTGGACGTTACACAATTCTGTTTGTATTTGTACCTTCACTCATGTTTTCAGAAGTACTGCCAATTCAATTTATTACACTTGGAGTCTTTCCTAAGGTAACTAAGTTGCTTCTGAGCTTTTCTCTTTTTGAGTAAACATTACTTAATTCATGTCCTTTGACTTTGTAACTTACAATGTATTTTCCTGTTGTTTCCTCTCTCATTCTCTTTTTCTCTATAGATTTTTATATTTTAAAATAGCTGTCCATTCTATTGGGTTGTGGGGAGGAAGTAAAAACCTATCAACTTTCTTGAATTAAAATTCTCTCTACTCTTTGTCAAAAATGTTTTAACCTTACATACATGATTATATTCTCAGACTGAAGATGTGCTTATTTGTCTGTTTAATTTTGGCCATGTATTATTACCCATTCTGATTCTCCCACTTTGTGAATGTATGTCAAGTTAATTTTAAAGCAAAATGGATATTATTTACTTGGCCAAAAGGTGGAATACCATTTCAGAAATTTTTTATATTAACAACTCCCCTCCAGTAGTTTTTATATGAAGGAACATTGACTTTAGTCCTGATTCTTCTATTTGTTAGCTCTGAACATGGGAATCTATCTTTCTGGGCCTCGGTTTCTTTATTTGAAAAATTAAGACTGTTATGCATTTGGTTTACGTGAAATCGCATAACTTTCACTACCTAATTCATAGTGAGTTCTCATTCAGCATTGAGTTGTCAATTCAAAAACGCTGTTACCAATAACTTTAGCACAGGCAGTTTTTATTAAATGTTTCATGAAAATCATCTCTTGTAACTTGTAGAATATTTTATAATTTATCCTTAGTCTAAAATTTAGCTGGTGTAATTTTCTTTTTAAAACTTTAAAAATATGTCATCAAGTAGCATAAAGTGAAATTAATTTTAAAAATTATTTATCCACTTACTCATTCATATTAACGAGTTTCTAGTAAGAGTTTTGTAGGCCTAAGTGAACAGTGGTGATGTAATTCTTCTCAAAATAAATCAGCATAGTGGTTGAATGAAATTGTGATAAGGATTAGAAAAATTGAAGTTTATCTAGTGGGCTCTTTCTAGTACTATCAGTGTGAAAGTGTTACTATGTCTAATAAGCCCTGACTTTAAGATAGTTTGTGTTGGTTTCTTCTTCCTTTCTTCTCCCCTCCCCCTTGCAGTGGGAAAGGGGGACAGTGGCTTTAGCTCAGAGGCTCATTTCCTTCTTCCTTGGTCATTGAAATAAGCCACCAAATGCTTTTCCTCCCTCTGTATCATCTCACTTTAGAGTCTATTCATTGTAAGCTAAAGTCCTTAAAATGGAAAATATAGAATTTCTCTTTTGCTTCTTAAAATTCTTCAGTGACCTTAATTAGTCTTTTGAGTGGTATTGAAGAGGTTAGTATCTGGCTCTAATTTGTTTTTCTGAGGTACTCATATGCTACTTATGAGTACTCTTAAATCTTTTACACTTTGTGATTTCTGAGTATAAGTCAAGCGTCTACTTAAAGCCTAGTCAGCATTTGTATTGGAAGACTGAAGCCCTTCCTGTCTCTAGGCCCCAGGCAAAGCCATGTGCTTTAAACACCTGTGACACCTATAGCTCTATAATTTTTCATTATTTTGCAATTGCTTATCCCTCATGAGACGAGTAATTTGAAGACAGTAATTTTTTTGCCTTTTTTTTTTTCCTACAAATGCTGAACATTCAAAAAAGGTTGTTAATTATGGTGATTGTGTATTTGGGGCAATTTTAAAATATTTTCTTTTGGAAATAAAGATTGTCATAATTTTACATAGACAAAATTGAGCAGACTTCAGTTAAATATTCACTGTCTTTCAGCTTTCAGTTTGGAAACCTGCAGAATTATGATTGCCATGTTGGATGTATCCTTGAATGAAAATAGAAAAGACTAGAATATAGTTATTACTTTATGAATATTAAGCCCATTGTTAGTTTTAAATGACAACCAATTAGTAAACTAGAATTTAAAAATATTTTTGAGATCCTGTTAGCTGTCTATAGACATTTATGTTTTTATGCAGAAAACTATTCATATGCTGATTTAGACTACCTTTGTAGATGCATACTTATTTTTTAGCCAATGATACAGAGTTTGGGTCAGGTTCATTTTCTCAGATCCCAAAACTTATTTTTATTAACAAAACTATTAGAGAGATTACACAGGAAAAATGGGGTTTGATGAATTCAAGGAGCTTTGGGCAGCTCTTAATGCCTGGAAACAGAACTTCATGACCATTGATCAAGACCGAAGTGGCACAGTAGAGCATCATGAGCTGAGTCAAGCCATTGCTATTATGGGTAAGAATATTAAAATTCTGTCAAGTCTGTACAGGTCATCTTTGAACATATGAATCTTAATTCTCAGTTTACTACCGTAATGAGGGCTATATTTTTCACTAGAGTTCTCTAGTTGAAGTAAAGTTGCAGGTAAATTCTGACTAACAACGTCAAAATTATATTAACTATAATTTTTCCTAAATGTTGATCTTCCATTTTATTCTAAATTTCTTGGGTATGTTTAAATTTATTCTTCAATGGTTAATACTCACCACTTGTATTCTTTTGTTACTTGAGAAGTATACGTAATTTGGGAACAAAATTAATCTCAATCACAAATTTCTGTATCAGAGTTTAATTTTTCAGCACCCAAAACCATGCTTTTCCCCTTCTTCACTTACATAATAAAACACAAAAATGTAACAATATACCTCAAAATGGGAGATGGCATTTTAGAATATTTTGAAAGAATGTAACTTTATTTCATTATAATTTCTAATAAGCTAAGGCTCTTTCATGGTCTGCTTTTGAAAGAGAAAAATACACAAAGTTGCTAAATTTGTTTACAGTTAATTCAGTTTTAAGAAACTTTATTTTTCTTACCCTGTACTTTTATTTGTAATTATTTCTAATCAAAATGTTTGTATAAAAATTAACTTTTTGAAAATTAACATCTGGACTTAATGTACAGGGACTTATCTGAAATACAATTTAAAGAACTCAAACTAGTGATATTTTTGTTTTATGTTTTAAATAGATAATTTATTTATTAGGGACAGTACTGGCCATATAACAATGTATAGTTTCATTAATAGAGCCTTAATACCTAATGGATTAAACTGGGTCTTTTATTCAGGAAAATGTTAGAAAATTAATATAATCTTTAGACTAAAAGAACATTTTCTAAGCATTCAAGTGGACAGTTAAATGTAAGAAAGAAGTGGACTGAAATATTCAAATGATATTGCTGAGAGTACTATGGGAAAATTTTAGGAATTTTATCAGTACCTATCCAGATCGTACTCAAAATGCATTTTCATAAAACTATAGTAGTTTGCATGTTTTGCTATTTCTCTCATTTTATATTTTTTAACAAGTTTCCTATGTTACACATTATTACAACTGCAGATGGAACATTCTCTTCTTACATTGGTGCATCTCATTAAATTTGAAGGACCATCCTAGGGGTATAGCAAGTATAACATATTAATTAACATTTCTGGTTTTCATCTCATTATTTTAAAATTTCAGTTTTTATGTATATTGTAAAAGGTAAGTAGTCAAACAGTAATATATGCTAAAGCTACGGGTGTTAATTAATAATATAAGCTAACTGCATACTTATAGGAGTTTTCTTCCCAATATGTTTCAAAGAAAGAGAAGGGGAAAACAGAAAAGAGAAGGAAAATTGGAAGGAAGAAGTTTAGTGATAATTTGGAGGGAGGGGCCCCTAAATCATGCTAGAACATCACGATGGGAGAATGTGCCCAACACTGTTACTGTGCTCATACACAGGTCTGCTGGGTAGGGTATTAAATCACCTGAGCTCCAGTCTCCATTTTTGAATATCATGGCTGAAGATACCAGAGAATGAATACTTTATCTGCCACAGATATTTACCTCCTAACAGAGCAGCTTTGCAATCAATCATACCACACTGAGTTAGTTCATTGTCCTTCCAAATGTCACTACCAATTTAGATAGCCTGTTAAGAGTATTGAATTTTATAATGCACCAATGTGGAATGACAAAAAAAAAAATGTGGAATGAGAAAAAAAAAAAGAGCATTGAATTTAAGGAAAAGGGTAAAGGGAAGAAATAAGTTTTTAAAGGCATCAGATTTCACTGTACATGACAAATCATTTTTGATCTTGTCAAATTAAAAATAATTTGAAAAGAAATAAATCTTCTTATAGAAATGTTTGTAAACATATATGTAAATATGCTGTTTTCCTTACTTCCCTATAATTAATAATAAAAATGGTTTATAAGTGTCTTCTTGGAAAAAAACAATATATGTATAGAATTTAAGAACACAAAGATACTGGAGGTGAATGATCAGAAACATTTTGATGATAGGAGTACACAGAAAGAATTTTGGAGACAACAAGACTGGAATAAAGAAAAAAGAAATAGTAAAAAACGTGTGACGAAACAAAGTTTGGAAGACAAGGAAGAATAACACTTTAGGTTATTTTGGGAGTGGCAGGGACTAGGGCCTCAGGATTTCTAGGCAGGTGTTCTACCACTGAGCTATATCCACAGCTCTTTTCTGCTTTGGAGTAAGCATTTTGTTCCCCAAGGAAGGGTGATGGGAATAGGAAACACAGTAGAATGAATCAGACATAACTTTCCTATATTCATATATGAATACATGATCAGTGAAACTTCCACATCATATACAACTGCAAGAATTGGATCCTAATTAGAATAAGTTATACTCAATGTAAGTGTCAAAATATACTCACTGTCATGTAAATTTAATAAGAACAAATTAAAAAAGAGTCAATGGGAAATGTAGGATTTGATTGATAGAAAAGATCACTAAGAATCTTTGCTTTGATATTCTTTCATTTCTTTCATTACTGGAGATTGAACCAGACCTGCATATGCTGAGCAAGGTCTCAATCTCTGAGCTACATCCCCAGTCATTTGTTTTGAGACAGGACCTCTCTAGTTTGCCCAGGCTTTTAATTTGTGTTTCTCCTTCCTCGGCCTCCTGAGTAGCTGGGATTACAGGTTTGTGGACCACTGAACCTAGTTTGCTTTGATGTTCATTAGGAACTATAAAAACAGAACTGAAATATTGAAAGGTTAAAATCTAGGAAAAACACCTATACATATCAAAATCAAAATACATTTAAAAAAAGGTAATTATTTTTTTCCTTAGCTCTTACTTTATTACTGAGTGAGAATAGAATTATGATGTTTGTGTATTCTTTAGTAGTGTTAATAATGAAGCCTTTGATTCTTTTTTAATATTAATGTGCTTTATTTTTAATATTTTTTCGTGGAATGACTTTTGAAAGTTAATCTATGTTATGACTTCATTAATGAAAAGGCAATGTTGCTGTGTTCTTTTGCTGTTTAGTTTTAGAAATTATACTTTACTGATCTGTTTTTTTAGGCTATAGGCTGAGTCCTCAAACGTTAACTGCTATTGCTAAACGTTATAGTAAGAATGGCAGAATTTTCTTTGATGATTACGTTGCTTGCTGTGTGAAGCTTCGAGCATTGACAGGTACTGACCATTTAAAAATTGATTCAGTATTATGCTGTTTCCTTATAACATGTCCACCCTTTCTATGTTACCTATTTACTATTACATCTAATTAGTTTTAAGTTTTCAATATTTAGTAATAAAAATGTTGAAAATTGTTTTAGCTCAGTTTTGGAGTTTCCTTCATCTCTCAGTTGCTTGGAATATTAAATCACTTTAGATTTAATCAAATATGAAATTATTCAGTCTTTGTACTTGGAGACATTATATATTTGAAATTATAGATTTTAAATTATAATATTAAAAGTATTTTTTGTGTAAAGATTTCTTTAGGAGAAGAGACCACTTGCAACAAGGGTGTGTGAACTTAATTTATGATGACGTAAGTATCTTGCTTGCCACTTTGCTACTGTGTTCTAAATGTGTTCTTAGTTGTCAAAAAAAGTAAGTGATTTAGGGTATAAATGTGGGAAGTAATTCATTTTATATACCATATTGTTTCTTTTATTTATCAGCTGAATGCATAGATAACATTAAAAATTACTACAAATACCAATTTTTCTTCATTTTTTAAACCTAAATGTACTTTAAAATTTCATGACCGGTTTTTGGTCAGTTTATCTTCCAAATAATCTTTAAGGGTTAAAAACTGTCATTTCCATCAAGAGTAGTTTATTTTGACAGATCTTAATTCTCAGAGAGATGGGATATTTTAATTTCTGACAAATTATAAAGCTGTTCCTTCCTCATTTCAAATGTTTACTGTTAACATGATTCTAGTTTTGTGTTTTTTTTTTTAATTGAAGCTATTGGGAAGTGATAGTTCACGTGTGCTTTCATATTTCAGGATTGTGGTTCTGCTTTTTTATATTTACTGATATAAATCATAGAATCAGCAATACCTTACTAGTATATACTGGCTTCAATTACAAACCTTAAGAAACTCTTAAACATTTCCTGTTATGAAAAATCTGTTAAGCAATGTAATCAATTAAAAAGCATTTTATTGTTACCATATGATAATTTTACTTATATAATTAGTTTTTGCAGGGGACCATGGTAATTTGAATGCCTTGTATTTGAAAGCAGAAGAAATACTGTGAATTCGTTTGCTTGGAAGAAGTGAACTGGACTAACTTAAATTAAAACTTTGGGTACTTTTTGTGATCCTACTTGTTTAATATTTTCCCTAACTATGTGTTTTTCTTTAATCCATAGTTCAAAGCAAGAAAAGATAGAGATAGATAGGTTTTTTTTTCAAAAGTTATCATTTTGCAAATATCTGCACACTATTGTAGGATATTGGCACAGAATTAATTGGTGTCAAAACGTCTTACCCTTAATTTTTAACAGTGAAAACCTAGAGGAATGTACTAATGAAATTATGTAAGATTATGTAAAGAAGCCAAGTGACTAAAGCTTAGATAAATTTATACTTATATGAGATACAGATTACACTTTTGAATTATATTTGTAGAGGTAGGTGTTTGAGGGTCAGCTAGAAGGGATTTTGTGCCATCACATAATCAAAAAACATAACCTTTTAGGTTTTTGCCTATGAAGAAGAAAATTGCAGTTACTACAAATGTATCCTAATTTGAATCTATAGAAAAAACTACAGTAGGCATTGCTTTTCCTTTTTAAAATTTTTTTGCACTGCATATTTTTCTTCAATATATTTTACTGTCTACTGTGAAATAAAAAGTTCTTTAAAAACCAGATTTTCCTTCTGCCTTGTATTTCATTAGTGAAAACATACATAACCTGAAATTTCATTTTTCTCTAAGTCTAGATTGGGGGAATGACACATTTTTGAGAAATCGTCAACTTTTAAATTTGTTGTTAAACTGAGTTGCTATTATTAGTTAACTGTTTATAAAGTTCTAAATCAAGTAAGCTATGCCTCTATTTAGATATTACAAAGTTGTAAGTTTGGCTTATTTGACTACATTAGCAAGTGGCTTTAATATTAGCAAATCAATAACTATTCTGTATATCTTTGTAATATGGGTTATTGGGTATAGGAGACACCACAACAACATTTCTTGGTGGTTTTACCACAGAAATTATAAAGCAGAGTCACCAATTTCTTAACATTGAGATCCCTGGCATAAGCTGTCGTAATTAGTGTAGTTTCTTTCTTGGCAAACAACCTAAGTCTTTCTTAATGAAGATTTAATAAACCACATGTTTTTCTCACACTTTATCTGAACATCTTCCAGCCTGAAGGTTACTATAAATTGATATAATTTTAGTCTGGCTGGTGACCAAATTAACATACAGTTTTTTAAAAACTCCATATTTTGTAAAGGATGGAAGATGGGTGGTAGTCCATCTTGGAAAAAAACCCTCTTATAAATGAATAGAAAATCACCTTTTACTTTTAAAAATCATAGAAAGGAAGAAATGTATAGTTATTTGACATTGATAGTTTTTTATAATTTGCTGTCAAATTCACTTAGTTTGATAAGAATGGGTCAAAAATAATCCGTATAGTTTTGTCCTCTGGCTGTTATTTTATTTTTCATGGACATATATTTATTAATGTGAGAGGACATTACCTGAGTCATAACAATACAGAAGTATAATTTTAAAAGTTGCAGGAAAAAGAAACCAGATAGTGTGATCATTCATGTTGAATAATGGTAATGATATAACCCAGGAACTTGGAACCTTAACTTATAGGTGATACATTATCAAGTTAGTATGCTGTTCTGTGGTCAGTTATGATAGTGTTCCTAACTTGGAGGCTCACAGTTGGGGTAAAACTTTGAATTTAACATACACTATTGTTCATAAAGGTTCTGCCAAATGACCCTTGTATTAGAACTCTTCACACAATTCCCTAACTCATTCTTTTTTAAAGATGCTTCTATGCAGTTTGGTGTTGAGAGATGCGAAGTTTCCATGGCCAAACATAATTGGAAATTCTCATCTTCAGGGAGTTTAATAACATACATTAGCATATGAAAATATGCATAGGTACATATGGTTATGTCAAATTATCATGGTTTGACTCAGGTTATTCCAAAATGTTGACCACAGAACCCTTTTTTCTAGCAAAACCTATATTCCATTCTGATCTAGCTTCATCATCAGGCAATGCTTTTATATTATAATCAAATTAACAATCTTATAAACACATTAGGCAGAGAGAATCTTTTATCAGGATTTTTGTATAGAAATGCAGTTCACTTTTTTGATGCTGTTAACATAATTAATGTGAACAGATATCTTTTTTGTTTTATGATGGACACAATTGCAATGTAAATAGTGTGTGATAGTTTGTATTGGTTAACTTATACCCCAATTGTGATGATGTAAATTACTGAATAATGTACACTCTTAATGTATAAGTGCTTTTATTTATACAGTAAACATGTTTCCATGTCATTTTGAGAATTTTTTTAATAAACATTCAAATAGCTTGCTGTAAAGTTTTGTATCATACAAAATTTATTACATATATAGTATTATGCTTCAGTTCAAACAACAGTGCATTAATTCACCTATATCTAAAAGACTGCCAAATGGTTAAATGTCAGGTATTGCACTTCTATTTTGAGTGGCAGTTCACACATTTTAAATTACATCAAGGGGAAGTCAATACTATGGGAATTTTCATTTGGTCCATTTTGATTGTAATTTCAAGGACTGTGCTCACTTAATCTTTTTAAGCATGCATCCAAAAAAAGTAACAAAAAATGTAGTCAAGTTATATATTTATTTCCAGAAAAGGCATTTACCCTGAAAGAAAGTAGATTTTATTAAGGTAGTTTAAACTCTGTGCAATTTAAAAAATAACAAAATAATTTTGTGATTATTTATTTAAAATATACAAATCAAGTTTATTTGTAATCTTATGGCATTACTAAACTGGACAAACAAAATAAATATTATTTGTCAGAAATGTGCTTTTCTATGCTCTTTTGTGTTTTGACAACCTTAAAAATGATGTTTTATTTTGTTTATGACAGTATTATTTGGAATCAGTAGGAATAACTTTATTAAAAATCTTGAAATTAAATCTGTTGGAATAGAATCCAAGACTTCTTTCATGTTAGCACATAATTTCCCTTAAACTTTAAAGTGCAACTGGGGGTATTTTATTACTTTGAAATTTGTATTAAGAGATCCCATTTTTATTGTTAATCATTTCATGGTAAATTAAGCATTTTCAAATGAATGCATGATGCTACGGTATTATCTAATAGTATGTCTAGAGTATACACATAATATTAGATGATACATATAAAATATTTAGAACTTACAGTGTAGACAATGTTTTAATTGTACATTTTGTGTGTGCAGTGCTGGAGATTGAACTCAGGGCCTTGCACATACTTGATGAGTGCTCTACAACTGAGCTCTATCCCAGGCCTGAAGTTTTAAATGAATATTGTTCAGATGATTTATCATCTAGAATAAGATCAAATCATCACATATATACAAATATTAAATTAGAAATTTCCTGTGATTTAGAGTACTGAGCACAAAACTACCTTCCAGAAAAATACTGGGAAACTGTCAGAAAAATCTGTGCTTTTGATTGTTTCCTGCCATGTCTCTTTCTACTTGTTTTAAAACATATTTTTCTGGCATATAAAGAAAAGAGCTTTATTATATATTTAATATCCCTTTTATCCAAGTAGCTTGCAATGTGCTTTGTGTATTATTTTGCATGTGTTCAAAACTCAGGTTTGCTTCTGTATATCAGAATATATAGCAAGTAAACCTAGGTAGCACTTCTATATCATTACGATGTGCTCTAGTTAAAAAATAGATAGGACCTTTGCCTATGTGCTAGTTATATTTTCAGGTTGCCACTTCTGTGACATCAAGAGATGGTGGCAATTTGGGAATCTTACAGGGACCAAGAAGAACTGGTCTAGACATCATTAAATAGCTATATTCAGAGGCATGTATTGCCAGGAATGATTAGTTCCAGGTTCTGATACATTTGGGAGGAATTCCAACCTTTTCCCTTAAGCATAAAAATATAAATGTGTATATATGTATATATAGATATATAGATACATGCATATAGTCATTTGTATTTTAGTTGGTTGTATTATTTAATCAAATTTTATGTTGATATGATCGCTGAAATTTCAAAGGATAGCCTGAATAGTGTGAATATGAAAGTTCCAGAAACATTGATTAAAGATCCATATTGTTTTCAAAATTATAAGTCATTTAATAATGATCATAAGATTTACTGGACTTTTAAATGTATATTTAATTTTCCCATAGTTATCTAAATGCAGGACCCTCAAATTTATCTTATGGCAAGAGATAATTAATCTTACAGAAATGTTTGATGATATTTAGCCTTTTAACGCTAAGATACTTGTGTTCTGATCAGCCCCCCTTGTATCTGCTACTTGAATTTGGCTAATTTTTCATTCATTACATAGGCAAATGTTCTCATGGTGTTTAAAATCTTATAAATGAAGGGTGAGGAATCTAAGCTACTAAACAAGACTAAACCGTCCTTAGCTTAGTACATGCCACATTTTAACCAACACATTTCATTTGAAAGTTTTCTTTCAAGATAATTTTTGTTTTCTTAAATAGTAGTAGATCAACTAGAGAATGAATTAAGAAAATATGAAGCTTAGACAAAAGAAAATATTATCTGGTTACTTTCATTCTTATTTAAAAATGCATCAAGGATACATTTATAAAAGGTTGTTTTACATATAACTTAAAGCCTGTTTAGCCATTAGGAATTTTAAGTAAACAGTTCATCTTTTTGTTAATTATTACAGTGGTCTTGAGGGGTAGTAAGTTAAATGTTTTTATATTTCTTTAACTTTAGGTTTAAAGTTTGGTACCACTCAGTCCAGCTTACTAGTTAGTATCCTAATGGAGCTCAGCAAAACTCTAGCACTGTTACAATTTTGTGATTTTGTGAAATACATCAGCACCACCATGCCTATATCTAGTACTTTGTGAAATGTTGGAAATAGTTGGCTTTTCTAATAAAAGTATCCTATCTAGCTAATGAGATTTTCTTTCTTTTTCCCCAAAATAATTTCTTTTACAAATTCTTGAATTTTTGTGTATAAATAGATCAGAAATTATATGCTTCATTCTTAAATTATGTATATATACTATATTTTCAATACAACTTGTACACCTCTTTTAGCTACCAAAAATTTGCAACAATTTTTACATAAAATTTACATTTTTCTTATTTACAGTTATTTGTAGAAGGTTATTGCAAAACTAGTTGTGCAAGTAGATTACACTGTCAATACCACATACCAATCTTTGAAGAAAATATTTGCTAAAAAATAAATATTTCTGCACAGAATATTTCAGAAGCATCATGATTTCATGCTACATTATGTGCATAAAGACTACAAAGTAGTATGTGTTTTGGTAGTTTGTTTCATTTAGTTTAAAGCATTCCAAAGTATTACTTAACCAGATGTGAGTGAGCTTCTTTATATGAGATGACTGACACACATTCTTTTTTTGAAATACATTATTCTTTAACTTGCAAACATTCTGATATAATACATTTTATTACCAAAATTATGAAATGAAAATATCAGGTAAAAAGATGTAATGTGCCTTTAATTAAAATCAGTAGGTGCCTAGGAGATAACTAGGGGTTCTGCAATATTTTTACTTAATTTCTTTTACATTTGGAAGAAGGGTGTCATATCATTTCAATGGTATTTTAACTATAAGGGCATTTGAGGCGACTCTGTGAAGGAGTTAATTATAAGATAACTTATCCTTGAGTTTACTCTTCAATAAGAATGATGACTGCATTTGAGTACATTTCTTATGTATTCAAATACTTAACACATGTAATAGTGAAAAATAATACAGTTAAAATGTTCACAGTTGTGATGTTTCACAGTTGTGAATTTTAAAACAATACCAAAATAGAGGAAGTCCATAGAATATATATTAATCATACAGTGTTTTGAAACCACAGGTGTCCCAAATTATATCACGTTTTTCAAAATATGAATTAATAGAAGTTGTCATGAATGCAATTTAGTCATTCATCTCATTTTTGACATTAGCTTTTCAAGAATAACCATGTTAATAATTCCACTTTTCAAAATATTTTGTTGAGGCCATTTTTATAATTTTCTATTTAAAAGTTTAATTTTGATTGCTAGAGCAGTGTAATTGGTCAGTTGAGTATAGTGTTTTGTGCACACTGCATTTATATACGTGTTTTGTGCTTATATTCATAGTAATAACAATTGTTTAAAATAACATCTGACTGGTTATCTCAACCTCCATTTAGTCTATATAAATAAGCCTTGCAGTAATCTCGTTTCATGCTCCCAAGTATTAATAATTCATGTCTTCTGTAAATTTTCTTTTATATATTATACATCAAAACAAAGTGTTTGTGCCACAAGAGAAGGTAATGAATTGTTCTAAACTTGCGCACTCATCCATCACAATATCTAATACTTTATAAAGTAGTTAAAACATGATCCTTCTAGGTTTTAAAAATGCTAACATCACTTGATCATAAGTTAAATATAACCACAAGAAAGTTGTTTTGAATTAAACACTTGAGAAATGAGAGAGAGAGCTACTTGCATACATAGAAAACAACTGAAATGCAAATGTGTTTTAAGGATGTTGGAAAAAGGCAATATTTGAGAACTATAGGGATACGAAAGCAGAGGAAGATTCCCTGACACTGATATTCTCTTGTTATTAGCAACGAGATCTTTGGGGTGTGGGTGAAAGTCACCTTCAGATTTTTGTTACAGAGTGTTAAGTGTGTTGAGTGTGGGGTTGAGGAACCAGCAAGAGAAGAGGTTAAGTGCTGCTCTTGCACTAATGCCATAAAACCACTCTCTTTGTGATGCACAAGTCACAGGATCTTACAGTTGTCCTGTAATTTGTGTGTTATATAGCACTTCCACATATAAATTCAGAGGATCCTCAACACATACCTTCAAGGAATGACATGCTAAGTCCAATTTGTACTTTTGGATACTGGGGATCACTGGGAATTTATCTCAGGAATAACTAGAGAAGGTAGGATTTGAATTCAGGTTTACTGCATTGAGCCCCTTGCCATGTCTACCATTCTACATGAGAGTTTAGGCAGCCTAAGATATGTATAATGTATCTTGCAATGAGGAAGCGGGTCTGGAAATAATCATTACAACTGCAAAATTCTATTTTCTGTAAAAATAGAAAGCACATTTACTTTCAAAATTGCATTCTGTAAATACATGTTCAAATATACATCTGTGAACTATAACATGTCCAAGGATGGACTTCCACAGTGTGCCAGCCTTTATAGAATACATTCTGGTAGTACTGAATTGGACATATCACCTTTGCATACTTGGTGTTTAACATTGATTCAGAGTAGATATGTTTTTAAAAACCAGAGTCATACTCCCACTATTATTGTTGTAAATGGTATTACTTTAAAGCT